ATTTTAATAAAACTTATACCTTGAATTTTACTTCTAACTAACTGCAATTTATAGAGTCCGATAACCATAATTGTTTCTATGAATGTCCTAAATTTTGTTTTAAACTTGAACACACTATTTAATTCTTATTATAACATGGAATCAAACGTTAAATGAACAGAAACTAGTATTTTTATACAAAAATCAAAAACAAAAGAACACGATGTTCACTAAAAGATAACCTTGAAATGCGGGTGTTGGTAAGCGTCTTCTTTTCACACACACATTCTCTTATACCCGCAATAAATATTGAGTTACTACTATAAATTACAATAAAACTTCTTTGAAACCTCGCTTCGACTTTGATGAATATTCTTCTTAGCTAAACTCAAATCAATGATTCTTGCTCTTGCATTATATATATTACTTCATCAATAACAAAAAAAAACAAATCAGCTAGTCGGGTATCTATTTAAAATATTTAGTTCTCTTGCACAAGACTTATCTTACAACTAGCCGATAATAATAATTTAGATTACTGTCAAGACGAGTTGTTACATGCATATACTTCTATGTCATATATAACACTTAATAATTACTATTTATAGAAAACTAAGGCATCATTTCATTCTTCATACTGTGCACAGCTTTCTATATATTATTTAGAATCTACCTTAATTAAAAATATTTTTGATTAAAAGATCATATCCTCTGTATATTTCATCTCATCTTTTAGGATAAAAAGAATCCGTTCTCAACAACAACAACAACAACAACAACAACAACTCATGTCACCAACAAATTGCAGTAAGTTTTCTTGAAATAAAAGAACTTTTCATTAAAATTTTTTTAAAACAATTTATTTTCTATATGTGCTCTCATTAATAGAATCTTTAAAAGTTAACTATCAAACTTTAGTTCAACCAAAAATTTAAAACAATTTTATTTGACTCAAACTTAACTTTCTTCATGTTTGCAAATGAGAAATAGCCCAAAGATGGTTTGTTTCTATCACACTTACAGCTGAATTATAATTTACATGACCCATTTCCACAAAGACCATGAAAAATAAAATTCTTGTACATTTAATGACAGATTCATCTTTCAGATTCAACAGTCGAAAATTTGTTAAACTAAATGATATTCAATAAAATAATAACAAAAAAAGTACGTCTGAGTACTTCTCACTTGTAAAATTTTTTATTAATAGTTTTCCTTCTTTCATATGCTATGAATTATTTATTTAGATATTCAATAATTCATCATAGACACAATCTAAATATATTTTAACATTTTTCTTTTATCTTCTATCACATTCCATTAGATCATTCAAACACAATCCAATTGTAGTTAAATAAGTAGAAAATAGTGCGCAGTACTTTAATAACGGAAAGTATTATTTTTCTCATTTTAACAGTGTAAGATCTTTCGCACGTGCTGACTGTTAACTACGTCTACTGAAAGTTCATTAATTAATTAATAAAATGTATGTCTAAGATAGAAAAGACAAGATTTTCTTTTTGATGTAAGGAAGACACAAACATTCAACATGTATATTTCTGAGTTCACTAGAAATAAATAACATTCGAACTTTTTTTTTATAATCTTAAAAAAAACGATGTAGCATCCAATACTCATCAATACAGCGAATATTTTTATTGAAAAACTTCATAGAAACTATTATGATTAGTTCCTATCTAGTCTTCATGAACTTTATTTTTTTTAGACAAGCAAGTGTTCCTTCTCGTGGCAATTTTACTTCATTATAACAATTATTCAATTTCATTTGTATAAATTTCTCAGTTATAAATAGTAAATAGTATTCTCTTTTTTTATTTATCATTTTCTTCATTTTATGAAACGCGATCTACAAAAAGTGTTAAAGTATACAGGTAGAAATTTGTACCCCCCCTTCTTCACTTAGACATCTTAGCAACGAGTCATTAAAAATTGTGACAGACATAATCATAGAAATGTCACAGACTGCATGTCAATGACATCTCGTTATAATATATGAAGAAATGCGTCCCAAAATAGATAGAATAAAACAATCATCGTATAATTAACAACAACAAAACTGCATTACGTTTCACATTTTAATTTCAGAGAGAATATGCTATTCTTGTTTCCTTCTATTATATTTATGTGAGAATATATTTTAATTCGATATACTCACATGCAATCTTCTAGATCTTCATCAAACTCCTACAGCAATTTTTATTTACGTAAGAAAACTTTATTTTATTCACATATTTCCATATTTATATTAAATATATTTCTTGATAATAAATATGAATAATGAGATGTATATATTCATAATATTTTAGATCTAAAGTGAACAGAAAAATAAATTTATATGAATCTTTTTTCGATATGAGTAAATTACTTGAACAAGTACTTCAAGCAAATATTTATCTACAACCAGTACAATTTTCTCTTGTTACAGTCATAAATATTCTTAATATACGTGTATTATGTTCTCGTGCTCTTCGTTCATCATCATGTACACATTATTTCTTAGCTTATTCAATATTTAGTATTATCTATAATTGTTTAGCATGTTTAACACAATTTTTACGTGGTTTTTCTATTGATTGGGCAACGAATCGAATTGGATGTAAAATACATTTCTATATTTTATTTGTTATTCCATTTCAAGCTAATCTAATGCTTATTTTAGCTTCATTTGATCGTTATTATTCCAGTTTCAAATCACATCTATTACATTCAAAAAGTACAATACAAACACCAAGAATAATTATTGTAATTGGCACTATAGCATCAGCTATCTATATGTCACCGATGTTAGTTATTTACTATTGGAATGAAACTACAAGATCATGTTATTTATATACTAATACAATGATACATATCTATATATTCAGTCAAATTTTTCTATATTATATTTTGGCACCTCTATTAATGATTATATTTGGATTTTTAACAATATCTAATATTCGTCGACAATCAATGGGTTTAATATATTTAACTGTATCTATGCGGCGACGTCGTACTGAAAGACAATTAACTCGAATGTTGCTTCTTCAAGTAGGCGTTCATCTTATTCTTGTTCTTCCATTTGGTATAATCTATTGCATGAATGCATTAAAACCATCGACACGAACACCAGATGTATTAGCTATACGATATATATTATTAATGTGGCAGCAACTTGATTATTTTATATCGTTTTTTCTTTATTTTCTTTCTGCAAGAATCTATCGTGAACAATTAATTTATTTATTGAAATTTAATAATTTTTATCATACATAATAATAATACAAAAGATTAATGTAGTTTCAACTATTATCTTGTTACCAAACGAGATAAATTATCTACATATCTGAACTAATGAAAGACATTGTTATGTAATACTTTTTATTATTAAATTTTATCTAAAGATAAAAGTATACTTAACTATTTCAATGAGTATTAATAGCTTGCAATACAATTGTCACAAGATTAATAGACAAACTAAGTCAATATTATTTTTAGTTCGATTTTATTTGATCAATACTCTTCTAGTTCACAATCATATCGATTTCATTCGAAATATGCAATTCAAAAGGCAAAAATGATTATATATATACATACCTGGGCAAGTCTTTCCCCTTCGGCTCTCAAACATCATAGGGAGCTAGAGGTCTGAAAATTCGTGTGCACATACTCCACCAGGAATGTGGGTCAATGGCATCGTCTGCATCCCGATTACTTGAGTGGAAACAGCATTATGATGGGCGATGCCTATTTTTGCCTTGAGTTTCATAACTCTGGAAAGGAAGAACGTTGTGGGTCGGGAGATGACCTATCATTATGTAACTCGATTATTCAGTTATCTGTCATACAAATTTCGTGGAACTTTGTTGATGCATGCAAGAACTATGGTCATTTTACTATAAGTATCGGTGTGCAAAAAAACATCTATTGTGTTTGAAACATCTATAACTCAATGATAGTTCAATGAATTGATCTGAAACTTTCACAGAAGTTTTCTCCATAGCTTGGCATTGTTGCTTGCAAACTTCAGAATCGAATGTTATATTAGAGAGAAATGGTACACTGATGATCATCGTACTAGCGTCCAAGACCCAGAGACATCAATATTCGAGCCAATAAACTTATCTTTTGGATAAAGAAAGATCATAGACTGGGCTTTAGTTTCATGTAAAAATATTCCGAATTATTTATGTGTTTGATTAGAAACAGGACAAACTTTAGTAAGCAGCGTTTTTAGGTTACAAAGTTCAGAGCAAAAAAACCCAGATATCATCAATCATAATTCCATTTCCATTCAAGTAATTGGAGTACAGATGATGCCAATGCTCTACATTCCTGGTGGAGTATGTGCACACAAACTTTTAGACCTTTAGCCTCTATAATGATTGATATCTGAGGAGGAGGGGGAGAGACTTTTGTTCAAAGGTGTGTATATATATAATATGCCATCTATGTGGAAATATTAGCTGATGTATTAATCATCGGTGGCTACAAGTTTTCGATGCTTTGTTTAAAAATTTTGCTTAGTTTCATGAAATTTTGAAATGAAAAAGGGAGAAAATGATAGTAGAGAACGTGATGAATAGAAACTAAACAAGAACATTGATGAAAACTGATCTTGTATCTCAAAAATTTTCAAAAACTTTCAGTCTATGTTTTGTGTCTTGGCAGCGGTGTTTTAGTCGATCGCATACACCTATGTTAGCTATTTACAAATGGAATACTTTGACTAATACTTGTTTATCAAAATCTCACATGTTGATCAGTATCTACGTCTTTTGTCAAATTGTTTTGTATCATATTATGAAATGTCTACGATTATTAATATTTGGTTTACTGACTATATCGAATATCTGTCGACATGAGAATTTAATTGAGTTTGGAATGTGTGAATTAATTATAAAATATTTTCTCAGAAAAAAAATTCTAATAGGAATAAAGCTTTATAAACAAGATGAATTAATTGATTTAGACAGTAGTTCACACAATAAAGTTGCATTAAACACAATAAATTTGAAAAAATTCTAATGTTTTTCTCCGAATTCTTTTTCTTGTACTAATAGAAGAAAAGCAAATGATTCTTGTAGTCTATACATTTCAGTTTTTCTGACTACTCTGCTTTACTTGCTGTTAACTACTTAGAAATAGAAATCGAGATGTATTCTTTTTTCTTGAGTCATTTTAGGATTCTTTATATATTGTCTTTAGCTTAAATCAATTCTGATCACTCTTTTATTTAATAAGATTTGTTGTCTGTTTCGTTTCCATTTTGATAATATTAATATGAACAGCAAAACTAACAGAAATAAAAAGTTAATTGATGTGTTATCAAAAGATCCGATCTAAAATTTACTAACAACGGTTATGCATCGTATCCTTAGATCAATGACTCCATATCCATTCTCGAACTACTCATTGGAGATGCTGTTATCTTATAAAAAAAAGCGAATAAATTTTTGATTTTTTTTTTATGAATTTAGTACCTCATCATCTTATTGTTCCAAAATAGGTTCGAGTATAGTTGAATCACTATGACGTCAATGTTCTTCATCATCATTCATTGTTTGTAACACCACCGCAAGTGATTGATAGAAAGCAAAAAGAATCACTTGAAGAGAAATAAGAATATCTGTTGTTTTTCTTTTTCCACAATCATTTGTGGACATTTATATGAGTAGTTTTTTTTTTACGTTATGAATAGCTGTTGTTATTGGTGCAATATTATGCATTATCTATATATCTGAAATGATTTTGAGCTTGAAACTAATGGTATCTTTGTCGAGCACAAGCTTATAATTCATGACTTTCAACGGTTTGAATTTCACCTATGCATGTGCTCTTGAAGTAACATGTATGAGATACTGATTGACTTCACTCAAAAGTGAAGAGAAACGAATAATCATACGTATTGGAAGGAAACCTTCATTAAGCAAATCGTTATTCATTTTTTTCTCACATTGTTTGAAGGAATTTTTCGATATGGAGCTGAGAAGTAGACTCAGAACTTTTCCATGTTAGAGCGCATCTGAAGAGAACGTTCACGTGGAGTTTCGGAAAGATTTCGAATTATCTTATTATAGATGTCCAACTTTACGACAAAATATGAGCGCATCGAACATTACAAATATCGTGAGCATTGGTGTGCAAACATTGCAAGTGACATATGACATCCGTGGCGACTAGTGAATTTTTTCGTTTCCTCATAAAATCACACAACTTTGATGTATTTATATGTATGTAAGAAATCTCTTTTGATAATCATTTATTAACATGTAAAAGTAAGTCTAATCAATTTTTCTTAGTTATGGAACTCTATTTTCAAAAAACCTCTCGAATTATAAATATTTAGTCATGTTTGTTTGTATTTTTCTTAACTTCACTATTTCTTTGTCAATCAGACCACTTTGTAAGTCCAAATAGCCGTCGTCCCAGGAGAGTAAGATCTACTTCTGGATCAATGTTAACAGCGTGAAGTTTGGCTAAAATTCGATTGCGTCGATTTTCGGCTCGTTCCGGTGTCATAGCAGGATGCTCTGCTGGGAACATTTTGAGGAATTGAGCGAAACGGGGGCGAAGACTACAATTCACTCGGGATCCATGTATCGTGCGTTGATCCCACAGGATAGCCGAGCCAGCGCGAGTAGAAATATGGCAAGCAATGGCATAAAGCTCCGGAATGATGCCCGCATGAAAGAGATTGAAAGTCGAATGGAGACCATAACTGGAGCACCATGCTTGGTGCTCGGCCGTCCATTGCGGTAGATAGTGATGGAAGCCAGGAACGAGCCAGAAACCACCATCTTCTTCTAAATTATCAGCAAGATTGACTAGACCTTGCACATGCCGCTCTCCAATTGTGTCACAGCCAGGTTCATTATTCTCTACGATCCAATCATCGTCATCTTCGTAGTCCAATGAAGTTAGAACTTCGATTTGATACGAGTTATCCTTATCTAGAATAAAAATCAGAAATGATTCTAGGCTATACAAAAGAGAGCAAAGCAAACCTGTGAAATATTTCCATGGATTCATGTCCAAGTGAAGATTGGTCATGGTTGCTCGTTCTGGATGTTCCTTGGCAGGTCGAAACATCCCATAGCGATCTTGATTAATCAAGAGTTTTTCTGTTCCTAAGATAGTTGCAAAAGCGGTATGCAAAGCTGGTGTTTGTCGATTAAGCAAGATTTGTCGAGTCCAGAGACTAGCATCACCAATGATGCCCTCCTCTACTAGACCTGTTCTGTCCCAGAGACTAAAAAAAGAATAGTTGATTGCAAATAACAAAGAAAAAACGATTGAGGACACTTACTTCGAGCCCCAAAGCTTCTCATCGTGTCGTATAGGTTGTCCCACATGAGACTCGATCACATTCCATATATCCGAGATCGTCTCTGTACATTGTTCTGGTGTGAAGACATTTGCAATGACTACGAAGCCGAACTGCTCGAAAAATTTACGGGCTTCATTGGCTTCCGGGCAATCGTAACTAGAAAGAGTGAAACTTTTTACAAAGCCTTCTGAGTCTCTTGGCACAGAGGGTGGCTGAAACTTGTCAGTGGAGACTGCCATTGTAATGTAAGAAATTATTTCTAGATAAATTCTGCAGAGAAATTAACCGTAGTGTGTGAAGTGACAACCAAAAAAAGTGAACCTATAAATGGAAATATGACTTGCGCAAGACCCTTGCAACTATATGCAATGCACTATATTACAGAGTGAAATTATGAGACAGGTAAAGAAAAAAGCACATGACCAATGAGAAACGAAGAACAACAAAATACATGAGTCATCTTACAAAATGGCAAACACAAATGGTGATAAGATAATGCATCATTCGGCATGGTAATTTCCATCGCGCCTAACAGCAGAATATAGACTGACTTACTCATTGTTGTTTCGAGAGTCATTGGATTCTCCAATATCGTTCACCCATTGCTTGTTCCTACAACAACTTTATCAACATATATGACGAGACATCATGTTCAAATGCATGCATGTCGATACTTCTTCACTTCAAGCTCAGCATCACTCAACAAGTGACAAGAAAAACAAAAGAAACGCATCGAAATTTTAACAAAAATAAGATCTAGAAAAGTGCACATTTTTAAGATTTTATTTTCGATAAAGTTTTTAAACTATTTTACTTCATTCACGATACTTAACGTACTTTTACGTGCTAGAATGCTGAACTGAATAAATTACTAAAGAAATGAGCCCTATTGGTAGACTTAGTTTGCTAGAAAAATAGTTTAAATGGATATTAAGTTAATAAGTTATTGCTACAAGACGATAACAAAATTGTAATGACTGAGAATTCATCTAAACTATTTTTTTTATCAAATCAAGTCTACGAATAGGACTATTTTCTTCAGTAATTTACTCAGTTCAGAAGTTGAGCGCCTAGTACCACGTAAAACCATACGAAAAAGACTATTCTAACTAGAAGAATCTTATATAATCATCAGACATTGTGTGAAAGTAACACATATAAAAATATGTTTCATAAGCTTCGTGTCCATTTGAACTTTTTCAGATATTTTTCGAGAATCCCAAAGTGAACAAATAGTGAAGACTACATCTAAACCACCATCCAAATTTTATTCACTGAACTGCTCTCATCAGTAAAAAGGTGTATTATTAGAAAGCATTTATTAAATATTAAAATAATTTTAGCAAATATATTATATTGAGTCGAATGTTAAACTAAGTTCTGACGGTAGTTTTTATATATTTAAAATAAACAAATATAATGTAAAAGAATAAAAAAAGTCGATCTGATGAAATTATTTCAAAATGATTTTCAATAAATGATTTTCTTATAAATGATGACAGTTGAGTTCAATAAATTTTGAATAATAATATAAATGCTACTCTTTAAATATAATTCCTCAATCCGTGTTCTACTTTAGATATGCTGGGAAAATATGAAAAATTGAAATAAGTTAGAAATTTATAAAACATCATATATACCATCAAAACCTTTTAATAATATCTAACGAATGTTATTGGTTTCTTCTTCATGGGAGAAAAGCGAAAGCATTTTAGTTTGAGTTTATTTTATATAAGTCTGTCTAACAATAAAGCTGAAAATAATTCATCGTACTTCAAGATTTGAGTATATCAGTGTAGTATGATGAAGTATTTGAGTTTCTCTCACCGGACGACGACTTATATAAAATAAACTAAAATGCTCGTGACACATGTTGATGATAATAGACTTGAGATAGCTAAGAAGTTCTAGAGGACAGTTTTAACATATCCTTGAAATATAGTAAAGTACGATATTTTTGTTTTTTTCTCTTGACTAACCTCACTATATTATTCTAAAGCGATCACAATTCATGAAAATTTAACACCTTTTCGTAACATGTAAACTATCATCCGACATTAAATATATTTTATTGACAATTATTATTAAGAAAGCGCGTTATTGGAAACATGCTAAATTTATTTATCAAATTTATTTTCTACTATTTTTTTTTTGTTAGGATGAGAAAAATATTAGTTGCACACTCACTTCGAGCCATATTTATCATTGTGTTCTGATGGACTCTTATGGTAAAATAAGTTTCAACGTGAATTTATTACATAGTTAAGATAAATATATAATGAAAAAGAGTGAAAAACAAATTTGATCAAGTTATTTTAACGCTTTTACTTATAATGTGCTCTCTTAATAAGGGTGTCAGTTCAGTACAATAGGTT